GTGTTGGAAACTGAAGCCCCATGAGCTTGCAGTAAGTTTTCTTTGTGTGCAAACATCTAGGGCAAGGCTCTCAAACCTCCGGCCCTCCAGCTGTGGTGAAACTACAAATCCCATGATGCATCTCTCTGCGGGAGTCATGTCTGTGGCTTTGAGAATCTTGCAATGCCTCATGGGATTTGTAGTTCCACCACAGCTGGAGGGCCGGAGGTTTGAGACCCCTGATCTAGGGTATATCTCCTCTTCATTAGAGACATTATACTATATGGGCTTCTTTGCCCATTTAACAAGGTAAGACAACCTGCTGCTGGAGATGCATCCTGCACAATTAAGGACTGCCATTTACCCACATCTGATTGCTTATTCCATAATAGTCTATGATGTTTTTTGTGCTTGGGATCACTTCTCTGTCATTAAAGATTGAGTTTACAACCAAATCTTGCAACAAACATTGTCAAACGCTACCTTACGGTTACTGCAGATATACTTGGTCGATTGTGAAGGAAGATATAATGTCACATGTTTGTTTATACAGTCACTGCCGATAGCCATTGCTATTCTTTCCCCCAAGATATAGCTAACATCTCCTTTGGTATTACTGTTAAGTGTTTTGGGTGAGCCAAGTGTGGATACCATTGTACTTATCTATAAAAGCTCATTGGGTGTTTGGCTTATGAATGCAGTCTGGTTGTATAGCTGTTTGCTACCCATAGAAAGACTGTTCATTACATCTGCCCTGTCTTTTTTTTACCAGCTTATAATCACATGAATAAACTGCGGCTCAAAAATGTATTCTGATCTCTAGTTTGCTGGGTAGCTTGTGAAGAAACGCCAGGCATGCATGGTGATCTCTTTGATTTAGAACGCTTGTTATGTGGAAGTATTTGTTACATCTTTCTTCCCCAGTAATGTTTTACAGTCATCATTTTTACAGCAGCCTTCAAATTAGACTTTTAAGATGAATCAAGGAATGTCCTTCTGCAACAATGTGAATGTCTCCCTCGTTTCTGGTGCTTTTATCTCCGCCTGGTTCTGTTTGTAATTTGGAGTCTTCATCCATTTTGATTTGCCAGGTCATGATGACATAACTGCAGCGCATGTTTACTGGAATTACAGTGTATACTTTGAAAAAATATATTCTTACAGGCAGGGAGAAGCATTTCTGACCGAAGAAACATAAAGAGTCTCTTGTGTCATAAAAAGCCTGCTTGTTGGTGTTCTTTAAAACAGCAGTTTACTTCTGCTTTCAGCTGAATAGGTGCAGTATTACTACTCTGTGGCTAGTGTGGCCTCGCTGACTAATCTGTTAGGAGCTTTAGATGGAAGCTGACATTTTTTTCCCCAAGCCACATTCTAGCTCCAGTGTCATAATAGCAGTTGCTAGCAATACCCAGTATTGTCATTGTGAGAATTTCTCTCACTTTTTGTCTGGTGAAACCATTGTCACTAGGAAAGAAGGGTTGTTCTGCCTCTCCAGTAACTATTGAAAGTGTGATCTCTGTAACTTACAGTTGTGATGAGGTAGCAATAACTCCAATCTCAGTGAGTTGGCTGACAATTGACTCAGTACATAGGATACCGTGAAGATCGTTGAGAAGTTTAATCCATATTGTGGAGCTAACAACAGCGAACATAGGATAGGTCAAAAGATCATAATGTGATCCACTCAGCAAAGGACATGTGGCTTAGATGAAAACTAGAATATAATGAAGAAGGGTGGATCTATCTACACAGAGGAAAAACTGAACTATGGGGAGGAAATAAAAGAGACAGATAAAGCAAATAATATTTAAAGGCATATTTTGTACACTTATCTACAGAATGCATATCTGGGGACCTGTGGCATACTGGTAAGTTTTGATTAACTCCAATGTCATTTATTTACAAAATACATGCATAGTGTATACTTTACAAATAAATTGCTGTGAAACGCTATAGTGTTCGGGTTTGGCATGAAGAAAAGGTGGCAACCCTACATATCACAATGCATGTGTAACATGACAAGGATGTAGGCATACCTATCTGGTTATCTTCATGATATATTTCTTATTAAAACCAATGGAAACACATAAAACTTGCGTTGCAATACTCTTTCTAATGATGTGTGTCATGATGCATTATCCTGGGTTACATTTTGGTACGTTTTCATTAATTTGAAAGGAAAACCCATTAACCCCTTCGTGACGGGAGACGTACACTGTACGTCCAGCCACAAAGGGACCAAATGACTCGTCACGTACACTGTACGTGACGAGTTATTTGCTGCACTAGAAGGCTGCTAACCGCTGAGAATCAGCGGTTACCTTTCAGTAATAGATGTCTAACTATCTAGAGATCCATTACTGAAAGGGTTAACCTTTTTCAGACACCCAATACCTTAATATCGGGTGTCTGAGAGTCACAGCAAAGCAGACACACATGTCGGCTTTTGCCGGCATTCTGACAGCTCGTATAGATCGAGAGATATCTCTCTCAAGCTATACTGGCTTTTTTTTTTTTTAATCTTTTGACTTTCAAGAATAGATACAAAATGTTATGTATTAGACACATAATGTATCTATTCTTGAAAGTAGAATGTTTAAGTTTTCTGAAACATTCACTGACAGCTGAATCCTGAACTGCTGCAGGATCAGTGTCACTAACTTATTATCGGCTGTTCTGAAGTTTGAAGCAGCCTGATAATAAAAAAAAATGTATTAATTTATCAAGCAGTAATAGTGAGATTAATTCACAATGACTGCCTGATATAATTAAATAAATAAAATTTGTCAGTATAAAAAAAGTGAAAAGTGTAAATAAATTAAAAAAAATAGTGAAAAGTGTAAAAAAATTAAAAATAAGGGACAAATAAATGAATGTATGTATTGCATTTTTTTTTAGCTGTGCTGGTTTTGTTAAAAAAAAATACTACAAATCAAAACTGGGAAAAAAAGTTTTTTTTTACGTTTTTTCCTCTTTTTTTAATTTGTATTTGTCCTAAGTGAGGCGTTAGACACACATATGTGATATAAATATATAGCCCTATCTGTCCTCTAAAAAACAATATATAATATGTGTGGGTGCACTTTGTAAGAAAGTATATTACTGACGTGGAAGAATCACACAGCAAAAATGTCAAAAGTGTGTCAGTCATTTACGAACAGAAACCAAAAACAAGCTCAGTCATGAAGGGGTTAAAGGAAAATGCATAGGCGGGAATGGGCCATAAATGATGGGAAATCTCTAAAACAAAGCCCCAGAAGCACTAAAAACCCAGAAGAGGTTTGAATCCTTCGCCATTCTAGAATGGGTAAAAAAAAAATTTGGCTGGGCACGCTCTTTAATGCAATAAATACAGGCAGTTCCCAAGTTGTTATTATTATACAGGATTTATATAGCACCAACAGTTTACAAACATCCAACTTGCATACGACCCCTTCTTACAAACAGAGGCTATTACTGTACAGCAGGGGGTCCCAGGCTGCAACCAAAGTGTACCACACAGCATTTCAGTAGTTGTAATGCTAGTGCGCTCGTGCCGACGAGGAGTGCCCGCCTTCTTGGGTCTAGTTTGTAGTACTGTACGTACATTACAGAAAGTTGGCTCTTGTTAGACGTGCAGATGAGGGGTGCCCGCCTCTTCTTCCGGGTCACTGTGAGGTTTTTTTTCTGCTGTCTGTATCCTCATTAGAAAGATTTAATCTCACTTCCTGTCCTTGAAACAATAGGAAGTGAGAGGAAATTTACCTCTGTAAGAGTTATCATGGGAAAAACGGGTCTCCGCTGAAGCTTTATCACCAATCCTTGTTTCCACGGCAACCCAAAATTTTCCAAATCCAATTGTCACAGGGACAGAAAGTGAGGTGAAATCTTCCGAACAATGGCACACACAGCAGAACAAATGTGTTCAGGGGGGTTAACCCTTCCCTATGCTATCCAAGACTAAATAAAAAAAATTGGGCTGGAGTTGCACTTAAAAAATGTACCTGTTCCAATTTACATACAAATTCAACTTAACTACAAGCCTACAGACCCTATCTTGTTCGTGACCCGGGGACTTCCTGTACAATAAAGGGCACAAATCTTAAATATGCTCGGCTTATATTCGGGACGGCTTATACTCGAGTATATACGGTATTTATGTAGTGCCAATATTTGATCATATTTTATGCAGTGTACATACAACCGTTCATCACAGTGCCTTTCCCAGAGGAGACAACGTTTTAATAATCTTACCCACAATAGAGATATTGATAGAGGAACACCCTAGAGATATTGATATTGAAGGAGGCCCTCACAAGCTAGGGGAGAACATACTAACATATACACGCGCTACTAGAGAAAAAAAGACTCCCTGAGCCCAGCACAGCTAGATTCCGGGAAACCGTTATAGAGCCATGTAGGCATTAAATTGTAGAGATAAAGCTTTTTCATGAGTAATGTTTTCAGCTATCATTATTTTGTTACTGTTTTCAGCTTGCATATTGTTACCCAAGGGTTCATGCTATGAAAATGATTTGCAAATTGTCAAAAAAAAACCAAAAAACAAGCAGAGATTTACCAGTCTGTCCTGGTGATAGTATCTTAATATGAAATGCTGTATTTTTCCTTATTTTAGCAATCATGTCTCTTGAGCTGATTCTAGCACCTAATAATGAAAAATGTTTTTATGAAAACAAATATCATTAACACAGTCAGTTGTTTTAGTGTCTCTATACATATGCTTGCACCTGTGGTGAGTCTATAGGAGGCCATGCAAAAGATACATTGTTTTTGCTGTTGGTTCTTGAAATACATGTTTTAAAGGTAACTTGTTGAAGTCATTGATGGGTAAATTAAAGGGGATGTAACGCTGGATTTTGGAATCCAGAAGGAAATCTTTACTTTATTGCATGAAAACTACCAAACCTGCTTGGCAAAATGTGGCAGATACATGTTATTGCCATCCAGTTTATATGTCTCGCTAGTGTTTTCTTTTATCTTCTTTCTGATTTGTCTTTTGCCTTTGTTTCTCTGTTGCACAGAACTGAAGAAACAAGTCGAGAGTGCCGAACTGAAAAACCAACGACTCCGCGAAGTCTTCCAGAAAAAAATCCATGAATTTCGGTCTGTATGCTACATGCTGACCGGGTACCGCATCGATATAACCACTGAGAACCAGTACCGACTGACTTCCATGTATGCCGAGCAAAAGGATGATAACCTGATTTTTAAGGTATGATTTCGCCAACTTCCTTTTTCATTTGTTTCCCAAGGTGCTCTGCAGCTAGGACAATGTTCTTCTTTTCTTTTTTCATGCAGTGGGTTTTTATTGATTGCTTTATTCAGTTGTTTACAATAACCTTAAAGAGCGTACTTAGCTTTTTGATGGAAATTTCCCAGATAAAGTGCATCTAAGTCGAAAAGCAAATGATTAATATATTGCAGCTTATCAGTCTGTATATTTTGTGGCTGCATTAGTTTTCTTTGTTCATGCTTTTTCCCTCCTTCATTTTCACCTGGTAATCCTGTAAATAACACATTTTCTATCCCTTAGTGTTTTTTTGACTCGTTTCTCTATTGTATGGAAGGAGCCATTATTGATACACAGGTTGGACTTCAAACATGTCTTATGTTCATCTCTATTACATGGTGGATTGATAGGACTAGTAGTTTGCACAGTAACTGTTAGGTTCTTTGTCTGTTCTTGCAAACTCACAGAAAGTGATAAGGAAACTATATGGCAAGGACACAATGTATTTTCTGTACTTGCTGGAAATGTGAAAAGAAAACAAATGCAGCAACCACATCTGAACTGCAATATTAAATGTCTGTCTTTGGGTTTAGGTATGCTTTGACTACACTTGCACTATTTCAGTCAGCCAGGTTGCTATTATTTTAAACGCAACCAATCTGCATTTATTATCCTGACTGATCTATGTTGGTGTGGTTGCTGCTGGTTACTCTACATGTGCTGTTGAATAAAAAATGCATGTACATGTAGGTGTGTCTGTTAAAGATTTAAGAACACAGAGCTTTTATCTGACTTTGACACTGTTATAATTGCAGAAAATTCAAAAATGGCTTGGCCAGCTGATTTGAAAAATGTTCCGGAGGGCTTGGCAGCGAAAGGGTTAAAGCAAAAAAAATCCCTAATTGGCAAAATAATTGTATAACATATAAAATAACTGCACAGTATAATGCTTTCTGTTTCAGTCTGCACCTGCCGTCATGATTTAAAACTGTCAAAAAATTAAAGCTTTACTTCTTTGCAATATGGCAGCCGAGAGGCAATTGTGATCTCCAGAAATCTCTTTCCCTGCCTATGTGATTGGCTCATTTTTTTTACCAGTAATCTTCAAGTCTAATTTCAGGCATATCCTGCAATAGGAGTTTCATTTATTATGACATACAGTACTTTCTAAGTCTTATCCACACCTAAAGGAATGCAGACACTGCAGCTTTTCTCATTACACCACTGCAGTGCGTCCTTTGGCTATAATAAAGGCTGCCCCTTTAATGCTGGCTGCCCCATGTTTGATAAAGAACATGTTAGGGGCAAATGTTTGCTTAAAGCCCAACAAGTTTGCTTGAAGCCCAACTGAGCCTTCAGTTTAAATCGGCAAAATACATTCCAGTTAATCAAAGCAAAAAGTGTTCAATGTCTTCCATTTCAATTTCATTGTAAACCAGCCACAGTCTGACCAGAAAGACTGTCCCCCTGCCAGAATTCTGCAGAGTGGGACCTTTGCTCGGTGTGTGGAAGCAGAGGTCTCTTTGCAGAGGTCCGACACACCCCCTGCTGAGTCAGACCTATAGTTCTGCATTCAACAAAGCTCATGCTGTTGACTAAAGAGCTCTGACTCAGCACGGGGGCATGTCAGACCTCTGGAATAGCAAGGGTCCTTCCCTGCTGCGTACTGGCAGGGGTAAGGCTTTTCTACTCAGACTGTGGCTGCTATTTGTAAAACTCAAACTCTAAGGGGCCCATTCACACCATGTTCAGATCATCTTCAGACCAGAACCAGATTGTTTCCGGGCCCAAAATGCATCCTAATGTATCCCTAAGCTATTTCTGGCCCCTGTTCGCACCAGCGCAGTCCGTTCCAGACCAGACCAGAAAAATACTGCTTGTCCTATTTTGGAATGCACTGGAAATGGAACATCAAAAATACAAATGCACTGCAACGCACCTGTAAGACCATTGTAAGCAAAACAAAATTTCCAATCACGGTAAAAACGCGGCAAAAAACGCAATGCAGTGTTCCGGATCTGGTCCAGAAAATGGTGTGAACCTGCCCTAAGACTTTGTATACCTTCTGATTTAATGCACCTGGAATGTATGTAGGTAATTTAAAGTGAAAGTTAATTTGGGCTCTAAGGGTACGTTCACATCCCGATGCAGTGCGATTCTGGCCGGAACGCACTGCATCGCATTGCGGCCCGCTCTTTTTTGTGGGGCAGGAGGGGGCATGGCGGGCCATTGAAGTGAATGGCACCATAGCTATGCCCTCCGGCCGCAATGTGATCACCCGCACGGATCGCAAGGCCTGCGGTCCGGTGCAGTGCAATCAAAATAGTGCTTGCAGCAAAATAGTGCTTGCACAATGTGCCTTGCGATCCCTTTGTGGGAGATCGCTTTGCAGCCGGAGGGCGTGGTTACGGTGCCATTCACTTCAATGGCCCGCCATGCCCCCTCTTCCCCACATAATAGTGAGCCGGCTGCAATGCGATGCAGTGCGTTCCGGCCAGAATCGGACCGGAACGCACTGCATCTGGTGTGAACGTACCTTTTTTTTTTTTGCTGGTCGGCCAAGTCTTTCCTTCCCTCAGCTCCATTTGCGGTCCACCAGACAGGCAAATTCTACTTGAAGCATAATATAGATGGAATATAAACCTCTGTCTGAAATTCAATAGGTTTTGTTAAAAGTACCAGTGTCCTTTAGTTCCCTTTTGAAATCTTCTGCTTTCAGGTATTTCTTGCTTAATCATACAGTAAATGTAAAGTATAAGCCAAGGAACAGCAAGCACAAACTCTGCTGTAATCTAGTGTACAGCACAGTGCCAGGCTCCAGCGATTTGGTATGGGGTCATCCTGAGAGAGATGCTGTGTCGTTCCTTGTGCTGATTTCCAGGAATTTCTATCCAGCACGCTCAGGCACACACGTAACGTGTATTTTTTCGACACGCCATTTACTCCTGAAAAATTGGCTATAGAATCAGAACCGCTAGCCAGTGTCTGAAGGTCATAGTGGCATAAAAAGAAAGCCTAAAGTAAACTTGGTGATTAACACCAGTCAGGCTACAATGATTTGTGTTTTATTCACATTGTTTACATATGATCCAGCCTAGCAGTCAGTACAGCGTGAAGACTCGGCTCTTAGTGAGCAAATGGGAAATGAGAGCTGACTGCAGACAAGAACTTTGTCACTTGCAAACCGTGTATTTTTTGACCTTCTGGTGTGTAACACAGGAGATGTGTGATGTTCAGCGCACCTTAAAACCATGAATTCTTAACATACAAGTGTAAAGCTTTCCTCTCTGCAGGCTTCTATAATCCAGTGGGTGAGACTGACTACAAAATGATGTTCTAACAGCCTCCACTTTAATACCGCGTCTTCATAGTATTATGTTCCAGTCAAGCTGTGCTTGTTCTCTTTGCTGTGTTCAAACAGCACATGCAGACCGTACAATTCGTAGACAGTTCTTGCTTTGTTTAGCCCCAGACAGTAAAATGATAGATAATGCATCAATTATTATTAGATTTCATCTTATCTTAACAGTTATTATACAGTTATGTGGAGTCTACCCTGTTTCTAGTGGCTAATATACAAATCTCTACATACTACAGTTTTACAAATTATTGTCAGTTGTCTTTTGACATCTACGTAAAGGCCAGGGCAGTACAGAGATGTCAAAAGACAGCCTACAATATAATTGTATAAACTTGATTTTAAGACCACCATAATGTGAACCAAGGTCAGGCTATTTTTAAAAAATTGGATATTCTTAAAAAGTAAATACGTTTTAAAGCAAACCGTCACTGATCTCTGCAGCTGCTGACACTGTGGATAATCATCCTCAAATTTCACAGCAGAAGATCCAAAGTCTCAGTATAAGCCAACTCCGCTCACTCTTCTCCCTTAATCCCATTGGTTACTCAGCATCACGCTTGTCTTATACTCTCTGATGTAAATACAGATGAGGGAGAAAGGTGAGCTGAGCTACTAAGACATCACACTTGAATGACTTTAGTTCTTCTGCTTTTGAATGTTAAGAATGGATTGTCCTACAGTATCTGCAGCTACAGAAGTCAGTCATACTTGACTTTATATGGCCTGGCCACAGGTTCACTTTGAAGCCATGCATGCCTAACAAAATGTGTTCATCTTTATAATTTGGTGGATTCTGCAGTTTATTAGCTAAAACAGACTACAAAAGGAAGTTTCAACTATTCCACTTCAATCCATCCTCTTCATAGTATATTTTATTTAACACAAGCTGTGCTTGTTTTCACTGTTCTGTTCATTTCTGTCTGTTTCATTCTGTCTGTCTGTTTTATTTTGTCAGTTTAATGGAGAAAGTATGCCAAATATATAGGTACCTTATAATCCTCTGTCACTCAGTCACTTGTTGTGCCCTGTAGTTGCTACAAGTATTTGTATTGTGTCGTTTGTAGCCGTCATAAAATGGAGAATTTTGAACTTTCTGAAGGGTTGCTGTTCATATATCCGAACCAGTTTGTACAGTTTAATTTTTGAAACATTGTACATACATCTGTGCCATGAGGCACATAAGCAGGATGAATGCTTCTCATTTTCTATTCATGTATTTGTTTTACTTTTTGTTTTTCAACCACTTTGATTGTGCTGCAATTTGATTTTGCCCAAGCGCAACACAGCTCCACTGCTTTGCACAGATGTCACAGGAGGTCCATATCTTCACCTGGCTATTCCTATACTAAAATTACAATGCAGAGGTATGGCCCTCTTATGAGATCTATTCATACCAGCCGAGCTATTGAGATTAATGCAGTATTGTGTACTTTCTATGAAAACCTTTAAAGGTGGTACTTTATTATACAATATTTTAATATTTTACCCTCAGAGATACTGGTTAAAATATAATTTCCCCATAGAAACTTTGCATATCTCTTCATATAAGTATGTATAGGCAAGATTTATTTTTTGGTTTTTGTTGGTTGATGATTGAGGGAGAAACAGTGTGTGATGTATG